CCCAAAGTATAAGCTTAGTATTGTGTTTAATTCGGTGAAGAAGGAATAGTGAGAAAGATCAAAGCTAAAATCCTTGGATTTGGCACAGAATACCTTGCCTATAAAGGAGAATGATTAATGAAAAAGACCCAAAAATCTGTCTTTCCCATGGCATATTCTGTGGTAAACATGGTTACATATGATTTTCTTTTTAAAGGTTGTTTGTGGTTATGATGCTCGAAGGCCTTGTTGTGGTTCACATATTCCTTGAAGTTGCAGTGGTTGCGTAAATAATTCCTCTTTGACTAGCTTCTGAAACGTACGCACAATACTTAATTGTGTACCGTGCTTCTTTCTGATTCTACTTGTGGTACTTAAACTACAAGTAGAATCAGACATTCGAACTACACATCCGCTGTTATTCTCATGGTTTAATAATATTAAAATAGTTTTTTTTTTATATTAAGCTGCCCGAAAAGTTTGGCCTTAATATGTTTTTTTCCTTAGCCTACCTTTTAAGGAGCTACATACCAACATATGGAGCATTTTGCTATGCTCCCACATAGACATTGTTCGCTTTTCCGCAAGTACTAATTTTGTATTATTTTTTTTATATTTTCCTCTGAGTTCAAGGAATATCAAAAAAAATTGCTCGCTCCAGCCGTCCGAGTTTTGAGCATAGCAACATATTTTGCGATTCATTTTCATTTATATAGTTGATATATTTTAATATATATAATTCAACGTCGCGGTATAAAAACATATTGTTATAGCAATTACTTCGACATCTAATTACCTATTGTTTTATCGATACACTTCACGATAATAACGAATCGTTATGGTTATGATTTAGTACGGTTTGCGATCACGCTTTCTTTTCTTAATAACTCTAAAGATTCTGCTCGTTGTATTTATACGTACCATTTCATTTATTTCTATAACACTTAATATATGTGTATTATTTATTAATTCCACGTGATATTTAAATGTTAGTTATTTCATAATAAATTACTAAAAAGTTCTCAGTCGTAATAGAAAAGTAAAATAAAGAATAGTTAGCGATCTAGTAAATTAAATTACGAGCGCAGTCATATCGCTTAAAAGCGATCTTTTCCAGGTAAATTATAAAGGACTTTTTTTATTTTCTTTTTTATTTATTTCATAATGCAAAGTTTGCCTGTTTGTGAAAGTCGCCGTAAGTATTTACCGTCGTCCATAGACACATGTTTCAACAAAAGGTGCGGTACCTGTCTATTATTGTAGTTTTTATTTGATTTAACTTGATTGAGATTTTCGATAGTGCTAATCTTGTTCCTTTACGTAAAGAAATTGTATCGTACAATTTGTGTATTTAGTTGCTGTATAGGCTTGGTTATACAAAGTCGTGGGTATCCTAATATAAAGTACTTAATATTGCCACCGCAACTCACCTTTACCTTAAACAAAAGCGGTCTTGAAAAATCTCAAAGACAAAGCGCAAAAACGCTTAAGTGCTTACACGGTGTATTCCGATCAGGAGCGGAAAGATTTAAAGGGCAAAACAATGATGCTAATTGCTTGGGATATATGGGGACTCCACATAACTATTCGTCTAACCCTCTAAGCAATAATGCGAACCAATTTAATCACCACAGAACCTTTGATTATACACTCGGTACACAAAAAAGAAATGATTTAGTATATATTATATACTAAATCTGAATACTAGATGTGTGGGGAAAGCGACCACCACCCTCCATTACATATGAAAAACGAAAAACAGGATATTAATACAAACAAAAAGTCGCTACGCATCATAATAATTAAAAGTATACACTTGAAAGTGCATCAAAACAACACAATTAGATCTGACAATGCAATGAGAAAAGTCAGAGAAAAAAAAAGAAAGAGAAATGGGAAAATATGGAAGAGGATTTTACCCTAAAAATACTAGACAATACTAGATTCTTAATTTTTTACAACTTATACTAACTACTACTCATATTACTAATACTTATTAATAATGCTGTAATAAATAAATATACTAAATTTATATTGTAATTTTTACTTCAGATGGTTCAAACATTATACCACTTATACTTAAACTGCTTGTCGAAAAGCCACGAAGCACGGCTGGCTATTTTTTTTTTTAATTTTGAAAATATATATAGCCTGAGATAATTTTTAATTTTTATTCATACAAACTTTTAAAAAATAAAATTTCTCAAGTTTATTTATATGTCTGGTAGAATTTTTTTTTTTAATATTATCATAACTCATTAATAAATGTGTTAGACAAATGTGTGTGGTCCCTTAAAGCTCGTGCGTACTGCGCATACGCATACAAAAAACAACACCGTAAATGGATTATTCGAGCCACGGCGATGAATAAAAATACTAGTCGATTAAAAATACTAAACGATGATAAATTTGTTTGTTTTAATGCAAGCCACGCGAGTTGACTAAGTTGAGATCTAAGTTTAAGTTACTTATAACCTCAATAATAGAATATTTTTGTGTAGGTGCTGTATTCTGTGGCTAATACAGATAATAAATAATACAGCGTATAGACAAAGAGCAAGGTGTGTATTGTTTATCGCTAATTATAATGATTTTGCTGTTTAAGCCAAATTCGAACTTTAAATTTGATTAACGATTAAAATCTTTCCAGTCTAGGAAACAGATTGGAGGCGAGAGTAATATAGGACATAGATAAGACCTAGCAAATTAGTCAACACACGGTACAAGGCACTTTCATTGTTTCATTATCAGCCAGCTTTCCACAGGTTTGCTACAGTTTAACCAGTGGTTGCCTAACAGTAGCTTAACATTGATGATTTTTGATTTGTTTCTTTCACTGCATTGTAATTGTATATTAGAACATAATTACCAATTTTACTAACATTTTCTTAAGGCCTCGAGACGAGGCTAACATAGTCTATATTTGTCATTACCAATAACGTGTATAATAAAACATTTTTTTATTTTATATTATACTAAATTTTACTTCAAAAATTTTTTTTCTCAATTGTTAATACTCTGAATTTTTACAAAATTTTTTGACTTACTGTTGATATGCTTCATACTGTGGCGGTCATTATAAAAGCAAATACAATTTATCGGTACAAAAGGGAATAAGGTTTTCTCTTTATCAAATAACTTCGCTATGATTTACTTTAGCTATTTTTGGGTAAACACGATTCTATTGATAACATGTTATCTACTGTACTGTCAGGTCAAAATTTAATGTACAAATATTCAAAAATAAATAATTAAATTTTTACCAAATACATAAATTAGTAAAGTTAAAAAAATAAAAATTATATTATGTAAAAAAATATTTTATATAATAATTTATTTCTAATAATTTTTGGTTCATTACAATATATGTCAATGCGTGAAACTTCTGCTGCCATTAGATTAAAAAAAAAAGTTTCACGTACATTAACTGCATAGTATTACAACTTTACTAAGACTTTCGTTGCCTAAAGTTCAGCAGTGTTTAAGACATGATGAATGAGCATAGATAAAGAGACGTTTTCAAAGAAACCGCGCAGTTTCCGTATCCTCCAGCAAACTTTCACTCGCCCCGCCCAAACACCAAGCTATTTCTAGGCATTAACATAGATTAACTATGTTCAGAGATTTACTAAAAATAGAAATTTCGTATAAAATGTCATATAAAAATCAATTTTGTTTTTTATTAATATTTATGCATTTTGGCGTAAATAAATAAATGTTTATTATTATTTATTAGCGACTTCATTTAAAAAAATATTTTAAAATTAATAATAAAATAATATACTTCTGGCGCTACAACCCAAATGGGTCTTGACCTCAGATTGCATTTGTTTCTTTATTTATTTTTATATTTTAAGACAATTAGGTGATCAGCCTTGTGCGATTTCCTCACTATAATTTCCTTCTCCGTAAGCGATATATAAAAATATTACGTATAAAATATTTGACATCAGATATAAGTTACACTATTTTTGGTGCGTTAGGGGATTATGATGAGAGTAAATTTTTACCCGCGCGCACACTTTTGTTTTAGTTTTTTCTACATACGTAGAATAAAATATTTTTATGTACGCCAATGAAGTATAACTTCTAACGCATGTACACACGTTTTTTTTAAATATTATTTATGAAATCAAATCTCCATTACATTACTCTATGACATGACGACTCAGAGGTCTCGTATAAAGAGGTTCTTGCCCTGGGCTCTGCCTGACCCACTGACGCGGACAGGTTGCAAAATTGAAGGTCACAAGACATTCTAATAAATTAATCTTTTTATGGTTTAATTAATAAAATTAATCATTTTATTGGCGAATTAATTATTTTTTCCTAATGAACATTATTTTTATTATTTAATTCTGAGCCGCTGAAAAAAGTGCTCAATAATTTTTTTATTTAAGACAGTAATATTTAAAAAAGTAAAAAAAATACTTTTTCGTTTACACTTTGAAGTGAATACAAAATATACATTCTAGGAGATAGGGCATATTGCACTACAGTGCAATGAACGTCTACAAAAGATAAAAATGAAAATTGTTTTAAATTACAACTCAGGCGCATTTCCTCACTGTAATAATTCACTTCCAAGATTGCACAGCGAAAGCAAACTATTTATTGAGCTAACACGATAGCAATTACGATCATAGAATGTTAATTCCAACAATTGCGTGCTCACTCCTCTGTTGCAATTAAAACCCTGTTATTATTTATTAATATTTCTATTATTGTGTTTTGGGTGGGCTTAATATAAATTTGTACACACTGAAGTAGCCTTAGTCTGTGATCAAAGATTACGATAATCATTTTACTATTAGAAAACTGATAAATGACAAGATACTAGACAAGTCGTAATATAATAATGAGCACAGATAAAAGAACAAGGATCAAGGAGTTTCCCATAAATAAACTAAAAAACATCTCATAATTTTTGACAATACTTTTACTTTTGAAATACTTTGTTGATTTATCATTATATTTTATAAATATTTTAATTTTGGTACATTTTGTTTATTTTTATCAAAATGTCGTCAGAAATTTCCGATGAAGAGGATAAAACTGAAGTTATATTCGAGACAAATATGGAGCAGAGCTCCGAAGAAGATCCACCCATGGAGCAGTGGTCTTCACTTATTTTAAAAGCTCCTGAAGAGAATAAAAAGAAAATACTTTACGAAAAAGGTTTATACGACCCGGGAAGTGGAGAAGTTTGCGCTAAGTACATTTCAATGTCTCAAAGCTCTGTTCTGAGGCATCCATACTATAACTATCCTGCTGTCTTAGACCCAGGTATTACAGCGGCCCTTTTATTACCAGAAGCACCACTGATATATCCTGACGATGGACAAGAATTATACCTTGCTCTTTGCGACGAAATGGATCAATGTCCCGTCAAATCGTTTCATCGCGGACTTCTTACAAACAGCATAGACTTAAGATACTATTGCGTGAATCCATTTGGCGTACGTCCTATGGCATTGGCCCTGCAATACAACAAACATGTAACCTCCATAAACTTTACGGATAATTTTCTTAATGAAGATGCTTGCTATCATCTTGGTGAAATGTTAATTTGTAATTCTACTCTACACGAGTTAAATTTGTCTGGGTGTCGGATCGGACCTATGGGCGCAAAACAGCTGTGTGTTGGGTTGATTTTAAATAAAAACTTACGTATTTTAAATTTGAATCAAAATGAAATCGGTGATGCAGGCCTCGAACATTTCGCGAATGTTGTCATGCGTGGTATTGGATTATTGCAAATTTCGCTAAGCAAAAATAATATATCTGGCAAATCTTTGTTGACTCTAGCGGAATCACTGGAAACTCACAATAAATTTACTCATATAGATCTATCAAAAAATAATCTATATTCCCCACCAAATGGTATCGTTAATTTTCTAGGACAACTAAGCGAGAATAAATTACTTCAAGAATTGAATTTATCATGGAATGCCCTTTCTGGTGTTCGGATTGCTGGAGCTATTAAATCTGTAATGAGGGCACCAAATTTAAAGATTTTAGACTTAAGCAATAACCGATTTACTGGTGAAGCTTCAGAAAATCTTATTGGAAATCTTGCACGAGCGAAAAAGTTAATAACATATAATCTTTCTTATAATCCATTGACGCCGGAAGATGCACTTCTTATTTTAAACAAATTGAAATCAAATGCAGTTAAAGTCCAAAATGTCAAGTTGGACAACATCTTTGTCAATGGTGCTTTTCTTGTGCTTTTGGATCAAATCAAAGCTATGAAATCGAAAAAAAATCTAGTGGTTGCTTATGGAGGTGTTGTTTCAGCGTTTAAACTGAAAGGTCCTGATATGAGAGATCTAGTTCTTAACCGAGCTGAGTATTTAACGAAAAAACCAAAGAAACGAACTGATATCGCCCTAATAATTTTGCAAATACATAAAGATGTTGGATATAAAGAAATAATTCAAGCCAAGGCTTTTCAAGAAGCCATTGAAGGAACTGATGCCCCAATTGATAGTGATCTTATTGATGAAATTGTGAATGCTTTTCCCGGACCAAAGGGCAAAACAAAATTAATTAATCTAGGTCAACTAATTGACTTTATAAACAGGAAGTGGCCTGAAAGAAAATTACCGCCCACTCCACCTCCGGAACCTGAACCAGAACCCGAACCAGAGCCACTTCCTCAAGAACCAGAACCTACTAAGTCGAAATCGAAGAAAAAGAATTAAAAGGTTTTTATGCATTTACGCTTTTAACTTTTGATAAGTTTTATGTTTAATATCTTTTAGTTATTGTGTATTTATTATATATGTGATTGGATTTGTTACATTATTATTTGAATATGTTTTAATTTGTTATACAACATTTTACTGTTTTAATAAATAAAAAGATACCTATACAGAAATACAAAAACTTTTTTTTTTGCAAACGGACAGACACAGACAGTAATGTGTTGCGTACGATAACATTAGAGGGAATTCTTTCGTGGTTTTCTCAACTAGATAGGTCGGAGCAAGTCTTGGTTTGTTTTGATTCAAATCCTTTAAATATTTAAAGATAGCTCAATATACTTCGCAGGTCTTCTATTATTAATAGCAGATGAATTTACATTACAGGTAAATGTAAAATGTATCTTAATGAGTGTAAGATGCATCAATTGCAGCAAAACATGGCCCGTTTAGAAGCGCCATAATATAAACGAAGATAAAAATATTTTTTTTACGTGATATTAGTTTTTACATTACCAATATTAATACTTTTTACATTATGACAAAATGTTGTCATTGTTCTTTTCAAACCAGTTTTGCATATCTTTTTTATCAGTTACTGAACCAATGTTCAGTCCTTATATTCTTAAATCTATTTATTTTATAATATTATGTCTTTAAGTGAGAGTTCTATCAAGTCTACAGAAAAAGAGCCCGTGGTAAAAGTTATTTATAAGCGTAGTATTGATGACTCCTCCCAAGAGGCTCCAAAATCAGAATGGTCATCTCTTCAATTCGATGTTTCTGAAGAAAACATTAAGAAAATACGATACGAAGAAGGTTTATATGATCCCGGTAGTGGTGAAATATGTACAAAATACTTACCACTTTCTGCAAGCTCTGTTTTCCGTCATCCTTATTATAACTACCCTGGAATAGTCGACCCTGGTATTAAAGACGCTCTTCTTAAATCTGAACCTAAAACCATATATCCAGAAGATGGTCAAAAGCTTTATTTGGCTTTATGCGAGGAAAGTAATCAATGCCCGATACGCCAATTTTACCGTGAATTATTAACATCAAAAATAGACTTAAAATACTATGGTATTAGTTCAAAAGGTGTTCGTCCTATTGCGTGTGCCTTGAAATATAATCGATTTGTGACTGTCGTAGATTTAACAGATAATTTCTTAGATGAAGATGGTTGTTATCACCTTGGTGAAATTTTAATCGAAAATATTACTTTAGAGGAATTAAATCTCCATGGATGCCGTATTGGACCGGAAGGCTTAAAGCGACTTATCGCGAATCTTCACATAAACAAAAGTCTTCGTACGCTTAATCTATGTAAGAATAAACTTGGCGATAAAGGTTTAGAATATTTAGCCAAATCCATATTTTTGGGCGCTGACATCGTCGATATAAATTTAAGCTATAACGAACTAGGTCCCGATTCATTAACTTCATTATGTGACGCTTTTGAAACTCACAACAAATTGAAATGCATAGATTTATCTTGGAATAATATAATGTCGGCTAACGCTGTTTTTAGCCTTTGTCAAAAGTTTGCTCAAAATGAAGCATTTGAGTATATAAATTTATCTTGGAACTCATTGAGTGGAGCGAAAATTGGTAATTCTATTAGAATATTGATAGCGAGGTGCCCAAACTTACATAGTATATATTTCAATAATAATAGATTGTCATCAGAGGTAGTTAAAACTATTTGCGCAGGATTAGTAAATTGTGGCCCTAAATTAACTACTTTAGATTTATCTTACAATAAATTAATGCCCCAAGACGCTATGTTATTGTTAAGTTGCTTAAAAAATAGAAAAGTGAAGTTAAAATATCTACTTCTCGACAATATAATTGTGAAAGAAGAATTTGATGCCCTTCGCAAAGAAATATTGCTACAGAAATTCCGGAAAGATACTGTTATTACACATGGCGAGGTAATACCCGAATTCGTGCCTAAAGGTGTTGATATAAGAGAAATCTTATTTAACAGAGCAGATTTCTTATGTAAAAAGAAAAGGAAAGATATTGCTCTCATATTGCTTGGAATACATAAAGAATTTGGGGCGCAAATGGATACTAAAATGTTTGCACGAGCCATAAAAACCAATGGGGCACCCTTGGATGAAGATGTCGTAGAGGCGATGACAATTTTATTCCCAGGTGCTGTACTAGCGAAGTCAAAAAATATAAACTTGGCAGATTTGGTCGACTACTTGTCTCGTAAATGGCCTGACAGGAAACTACCTCCAACACCGCCTCCAGAACCTGAGCCTGAACCAGATCCAAAGAGTAAGAAGAAGTAGTTTTTTATATTTTTCTTAACTTTGATAAGTTTCTTGTTTTATACTTCCATTATTTGATAATACTTAGTTGTAATTATGTTTATTAATAAATAATCGGAGGAAGCACTATCATCTGTAAACTTATTTCCAATTAAATTGTAAGTTCCTGTTCGGACATCGAATATCGGCCACCTGGTTATTGAATGTTTCAGACAAAATCGACTCCATTGGAATCTCCACGCCTAAAAACAAAGTCTTAATTTCCAATACGTGCGTATATGTTCCACGTTTCTTTTATGGGATTTGCATTAGAGTGAATGCGTGATTTGTCTCCATTGTTGAATGTCACGGCGTGCATTTAGACGCATGCTAATTCAAATGTATTCTATGCGCTTGTTCGAATACGTATTCATGATTTACATGCTTGAATTCATCCTAAATTCTAAATAAATTGAAGTAATTTTTTTTATATTTTTCTTTATTCATAAAAATGTATAACTGAGGTATTTTCGTATCTTATAAAACATTACTTCTTTATGTTGTGCTAAAATCCTATACACTCCTCTTTATTTTAGGACCGTAAATTTATAAACCGTAAAAAATCTTTAAGTAATTCCATGTTGCTCCGGTTAAATTACACAGTTAAAACTAAAAGTACTGAATAATCTGTAACATCTAAATACTTAGCATGTAATAAATCCAGTGGTTAGCCGATGTGCCTCGATTAGGCCGAACACCACAATACCGTGTAGACGGGGATGCGCACAGTAGCGTGCATCACGCGAGCTCCTGTCCGCTTATTATTATTTATTACAATCTTAAGACTCCAAACGCCTGATCATATCAAAGGAATTAGCTTTCCAAAAATTAAAATAATCCTCGGATATGTATTTTAAATACCTTTGTTTTTTTTGGAATGTTCGATGTCTTTTTTTATCAGTGGCGCTACAAGCTTTTGAGGTATGGCCTCGGATTTCTGTATCTGTTTCATGATCAATGTGATAGGCAAGTATCTTCATCATAAGTAAGATAGGTGTGTAAGTGAAGCCGATTTACCCACGATGTTTTCCTTCACCGTTCGAGCGAGTGTTAAGTACGCACGTAGAAACAATGTCCATTGGTTGGCACAGCCGGGAATTAAATCTACGACCTTATGATGTTAGTCGCACGATGAAGCCACTAGGCCAACACTGCTCTGCACAATGTTTGGGGTGGTTGAAATCGTTATCATGTGGGGTAAATTAGAAATTTTCAACACCAGTATTTAAATTATGTTTTTAATATTTTAAAGTTTCGTGCCTGGACAACACTTGTGATTTATGCTTAGAGCTTTCTCACGATACCTATTATTTATGATATATCTGTACAAATAATATTTGTGAATAGAAAGTGTTTAGCGCAAAGATGCGTCTTTCGTTGATTAGGAATTCGGGACAGGTCTGCGCTTGCGCACTCAAATGTGAACTTTTACTTTTATACGACATTTCTCTTTGTTTAACCTTGCATATACTTGCATAAGGTTTGGTGGTTGCTTGAATATTTAAAGATGTTTACATTCTTTGGTGGTATTATTATTAATATTGGCTTTGATGTTTGACTCAATAATGTTTGGAGTTTTTTTTAATTGTTAATAATAATTATTTATTTATTTGCAAGAATATGTAACAAAAATATGATGGTACAATCTAAAATTCTGCCACACATATTGGCGTGCAAATTTGTCTTAAAAGGTAGAATTTTATATAGTAACCTATTACATTACATTATCATATCATGATAGTATTCTTATATTAATTTACCACTAGATCATCACATTATTAAAACATATTATCAAATTAATATTAATTCTAATATCACCCAAATAATCATTAATAGATCATTTTTTATTGTGAATTACTATAATATACAAGCACATAAAAAACTGTTTGAATGTTGCTCAAGAGACATAGAGAAATGGAATAATATGGAGAAGGCTATATACAAATAAAACCCTAAAAAATTAACCTTAATTTTTAGAACTCATTACAACTAATACTTATACTAAAAGTTAACACAATTATTGTATGGATAATTAATAAATCTTTAATAACAATAACTAAATACTTGACAATGTTATATTTAAATACCTACACATATAGGTACTCACAATTTCCAATTAATTTCAGTTCCACAAGCTCTCTTTAATTCATGAAAGCTGTACCAACCATCATTTCGGGTATTGCCGATCGGATAAGAAATTGAATTGAACGCTGCATTGACCAGACTGATTTATTGTTTTGGGCCGACTTTTGGTTTCATTTAATTTGCTACTTTGAATTCGCCTTTTGATTTTTCGAGATAAGAATTCGAACCAGTCCTGTTTGACTACTTAAAGGTTTATTTTTAACGTCTTCATTGCTAAATTGAACTGATTTATCGGTAAGATAAAAGCCAAGAATAAAAGTTTTGAAATTATAAGTATTACATCACAAATCAGCTTATTATTGCTTTAACTGTATCTCTCTCTCTATTTAGTCGGTAGCTCATATCTAAGCGTCGAGGTTAGCATGGAAGCATCTGGAGGGGACTATCTGTTTCTACCGGTTTCTGTCTAGCGCCTCTCTTATAACAGTGTATACTTTTGAGGACGATGAGTCTTTTACTTGATCAGTCCATATGGTTGGTGAACGGCCACGTAATCTTTTGCCAGTTTCTCCAAGTTCTCATCGCCCCTGCGCATTGTATGGCCGAAATAAGATATAATTCGCTGTCGGCATATGATAGACAGGCGTTTAACTGTATAGGATATAATAAAATAAATCTTTCCGAATCTTTATACTTTAATTCGCAGATATTTTGTATATTCTACCGGAGCTAAAAAAGCTTTATGTAATACATTAATGTTGTAATAAAATAAATAAATAAATCAGCCTTAACTAACTAAATAAACAAACCTTTTTAGATCTGGGACTAGATACTGAGGACAGTATCTGTTTCATGGTCATTTTTTAAGCTAATAGAGAAGTAGGTGATCAGCCTCGTGTGTGTGATACACGCCGTCGACTTTTTAGTTTTAAGGCATCTTTACCCACGATATTTTCCTTCACCGTTCAAGCGAGTTAAACTCGCACATACAAAGTCCATTTGTGCGCAGCCGGGGATTAAATCTACGACCTCAGGGATGAGAGTCGCTAAAGATACATCACTGCTGTTGCGATAAGCTAATTTATTTTCAAAATAAGTGTAAAACGTTTTAAAGATAAAATACAGAATAAATAGTCAATCATTTCACACACCCTGTCTAGTTTACCTTAAGTAAGGTTTGAATTATCCGTTCCCAACACCGAGCCCCATCCAAAAGCCATTACCAGTCTGATTATTTCCACTATTAGGATGCGCGTGAGCACCGCACAAAGGTACCGGTGATCTAATCCTTTGACTGTCACCATACCGTCTAGGATATATAGGACTCAATTAATATTTTTTAATATAGATTTCATATAAATAATTTTCTTTGGTAAATGTGAACAATTCTCCGTTTTTGTTATACATATATATTATATACAAAATACGCTAAAGACCGGAACAATATATTGGTAATAATTTAAGATGCCTAAAATATTTACAAATAATATTAACTTCCACATCGTCGGTGTAGAATGATAACCTCGTATGGCCAGGGAACCAAACATTACAGGAAACGAAAAAAATGTTTCATTTCTTCAATGTTCGTTAAAATATTACTGTGTTTTGTCAATAGTTTTGGATGGTAAAAAGGACTTATTTATTAATAACATAAATAAGTCCTAATTTCATGATTATACCAGTTTAAAAAACTAAATGGTTTCTTTACATACGAGGTTATCATTCTAAAGTAACGAAATAGGACAATTTCTGGAAAATTCCATATATCTCTATTTAAATCATGGATGCCCTACACCACCCATTGAGGCGTCTCCCACGGAGGACGGAGCATTCTAATTTATTATACAAACTATAAAAATTACGGCGACAAAAAACACAATCAAAATAATGTATACTGATAGTTTTATTTGTAATTATCGTGAAAGAAAAACCAGGCAGTTTGAATTATTAATTTATTTAAAACACTTACAGAGAACACACGACACATAAAAAAACACAATACATGCATGTGCATCAATGACAAGTGTGCACAACATTTAAAGGGAAACATTACAATTATAAAAGAGAAAATAAATAAAACAATAAAATAAACGACAATAAACTAGATTAAGAAATACAAATCTTAAATATTTGATTTAATATGCAATTTAAACATTTAATATATTTCTTCTTTGCAATTGTAATTGGTGACGGAACAATGGCTGCAGCATCTTACGCCTGAAGATATGGAGACTGTCATAAAATGCATCAGACTTGCATGTCCTCAAAGCGTCGTTTACTACATATATGTTTAGTTATAATTGAGATGAGTTATAATTAGAAAATTGATTACTTGTACATTGGGGTACTGTCTAATATATAATTTAAAATTGCTTTATCCGATAAACACCCGTATAAGTTTCGAAACAAATGTCGAAACAATTAACAAATAATCTGCCAATTTCCCACCAGCGAAGATAATGCGAATAGCGCGTGTAATCCTGCGCACAATCATGCCAAGAGAAACATCCAATTCTGCTACGTACAAAATAAGACTCGCACATAAGATGCAATGAATCGATTACAAGGTATTTGCCAATGCATTAATTGTGGTTAATAGCGAGTTTGGGATGTCTTGCGCAAGCGCAGGTGCGCTCGAAATGTCATCGCGCGTGGATCGCGTATTTTTTCTCCAGAGATAACTGTGAACTTTTTCTTGGTCTGTCCTTTATTGGACTTGTTTATAGGTCAGTTCTGTTATACCCACAGATAATGTCAATACGCTGAAGAGTTTTTATGAACTTTGGGATAAGTCTACATAAACACCCCTTGACCATATTACCTAAACGGATGGTATCATGTGTATTGTAATTATAATTCTTTTACAATTGTAAATTTTTAAGTATTTATCTTGACTT